TGGGGAGCGGCTGGGGGAACTGGGGGGGTTCAGTCTGGAGAAGAGGAGGCTGAGGGGAGACCTCCTGGCCCTCGGCAACTCCCTGCCAGGAGGGGGCAGAGAGGGGGGATGAGTCTCTGGAGCCAAGGCCCCAGCGCCAGGCCCCGAGGGAATGGCCTCAAGCTGCCCAGGGCAGGGTCAGGCTGGCTCTGAGGAAGGATTTCTGTGCAGAAGGGGCTGTTGGGCGTTGGAATGGGCTGCCCAGGGCAGGGGGGAGTCCCCGGGATCCCTGGAGGGGTTGAAGAGTCGGGCTGAGCCAGCGCTGAGGGATCTGGGGGAGTTGGGAACAGTCAGGATGAGGGTTGTGGTTGGACTGGAGGAGCTTCAAGAGCTTTTCCAACCTCAATGATTCTGTGAACATGATCCCAAATGAATGGGATCTCAAATGAGTGGAATCCCAAATGAACAGGAACTCTCATTTTGAGAAACAGGGCAGGGCAAAGAGAAAGGGAGCCACATCCACCTAGGAGAATGGCATTTGTATACAAATATTCATCAAAACATGGTGAACGGTCACTTTTTTTACCTAGGAGTGTTTGCAGAAGAGCCAGGTCTTTCCCGTTACCTTGTTATTGTTTGCTTCTTGCGGTAGTGATGGGTTCCTGGTGAGGGAAGCGGTTGCAATGCTGAGACCGTGGAGCTTTCATCAGCCCTTGCAAGGTTTCAGGAGTGTCAGTGCCACCATTATGTTCATTTGGAGATTCACTGTGGACTTAGGGTCCTTCTGCCTTTGCACATGAGTCCAATTGTGAGGAACACCCTATTTCTGTGGGTTTCCACAGTGGGATGCTCAAAGGATCTGTCTCCTGCACCAATTTGCTCTCATTCTTGCTGACAGCGCAGCTCCATGTGCTTCTTGGTTAAAATTAAGCACAGGGAGGACTCAGGCTCCATTTCCTACACCGAGAGGGTGGAAAACTAATTTGGCTTAGGACCGTCTCAGTTCCAGAGTGCGATTGCTTGTTGAGTGGCCTCAACAAGCACCGAGAGTGGAACGTGTCATCAAAACTCTACTGACTGTGGGTTTTCCAGACATCCCACGATGGAGCAGGGCCTCGAGGGAGGCATTGCAGGACCAGTCGCGCTCTTGCCAGCAGCTGGAGGACTGAATCAGTTCAAATTCATCCAGACAAATATTTTAACTAGTGATGAAACTCTCTGGAAAGTTGGCTGCTTACACCAATGGTACCCTTTGGAGAAAGCCCTGCCTCAGGACTGGCTGTGGAGGGAGCTGAAGGAAAGGTCTTATCTCTGGAGCTTGATTTCCTCCTGGTTCAGGGTTTGTCTGACCTTTTGGTCACTGAGTAAGTTTGATTTTTGCCAGGTTTTCTTTCAGGGGGAGGAAATAGATGTAAGTGGGTGGTGCTGGTGGGAGGATACTCCCGGGTGGGGTGGGGAGGATCTTGTATTCCTGATATCGTTTCCAGCATGTTGATGACTTCAGTGTTGTCTTTTTGCCCAGAGTTTGGGATGGGTCTAGATTGAAGTAGATTTAAATAAATACAACGAGAACAAACGACAGGAGATGTATTTAAGAGGGGGAGGTTTAGACCACGTCTCGGGAATAAAACCCTTTCTTGGCGGTGTTTCAAGTTGACTTGGCGGCGTGATCTCACAGCCTTCTCCCAGGAGATGCTGAAGATGCAGCTGGACACGTGACAAAAGCCTGAAGGACAGGAGTCATACAGCAGCTGCCAGTCAATGGCATGTAGCAGAGCCCTCTCTGAGCCCTCTCTGGGCTCGTAGCAGATGTAAGATGCTGGCCCATCCTTGGGAGGCCCCAGGCCGTGTGCTGGTGTGGAGCTTGGCAGCTTTGGGCTCTTCTGGCCAGGACGATGACATCTCGCATCTCACTGTCATTTGCCTCAGCCTCTGGATCTGTATCTGTTTGGGAGGAGATAATGATACCCATTTCTCAGGAGCTTTTTGAGGTCTACAGGGGAAACAAATCACCATAAAAACCTTGTATTTAAAAGGGCTGAGGGAGAAAGCCTGAGGGAAACAATTTTACTGATGTCATCATCCTGTAATTTTGCCGGACGTTTCCTGAGAAGAAATATACAGTGCAATGAATGTGCAGCCTGCACTTGCAGATGATCTTGAATTATTATTTACGGGTGTTTGTTTCATCTGCACATACGGGGAGTCTGGAGGGGTTTGAATGGAGCTGAGCCTGGCCTTGTGTGGGTGTTCCACCTGTACCCAGTAACAGGCAGGGAACTGCTGGGCACTGCCTGCAGGAGGAGCTGACCTCTCCTTCCCGGGGCTTTGAGCAACCTGATCTGGTGGAAGGGGTCCCTGCCCACAGCAGGGGAGTTGGAACTGGATGACCTTTAAGGTCCCTGCCAACCCAAACCAATCTGTGATTCTATGATTGTTCCCTGCCTCTGGTTCTGGGGCGTTTTGGATCAAGGCTCCTTGCCGTGGTCTTCACATGTATTCCATTTTGGTTTGTTCAGAGTACACTCATTTGCAGAATGTTTTATGAACACCTTATTAATTTCCTTTAAGACCAGGTACTTACGTCTGGTGCTCAGCTTCATAGCTCATTCCTCTCGTGTTCTCCCACAGTTCATCCATTCCCTGCTTCATCTCTGGTCATTTTGGCTGGTCCACCCAGACTGGGATCTCTCCATGCACCCTCCTGTTGGGAACGTGTGAACATATCCATAAATCCTTCCCATCCACAGGCCTGCTGGGGCTCCAGCCACACATTCACTCCTCCCTTCCAGCTCTACACACACAAGATCAGCAGCAGTGTCCCCAGTTTGAATTCTTTTGGGATGACGTTGCAGGAGGGTTTAAATAACTGTTCTGTGCTCTCTTCCCCAGGTCAACATGGATTTGTGGTTCTTTCTCCTTTTGCTTGGAAGTGGCCTGATAAGCGTAGGTGCTGACAACATCACGACAGGTAAACTATGCTCATTGTCTCCTCTCTTTCATCCCTAAATTATCTTTAGGATCAAATGAGTAAGTGCTCACACGCTTGGTGACTTACTCGTGCCCTCCACTTAATTGTAATATAAAGTATTGGAAAGAGGGTGATGGGCTGCAGGTGCTCATAAATAGGACCTGCAGGTTTTACCTCTAGCAAATATTGATCCTCTCTTACAGGGGCTCTAATCTTTGTACCTCCTCAATATCATGTTACCTTTTCAAGTTACCTGCTTTTACAAGGATTGCATTACATTGCTGTGCAAAACAATCCCTGTCCTGGACTCAGGATTTTTTTGGATGTTTTATCCTTATAGTTACAGTCACACAAACTTCCAGCATATAAACCCTCCAGTGTTGCAGACAGGTATCTCACAGAGGTTTCCTTGTGCTTTCTCCTCTCGCAGAGCCACCCACAACAGTGCCCACCTCCCCCAGGAGCCCCACCAAAGCTCCTACAGCCAGTCCTGAGGATGGGACACCAACAAGTGCAAACAGCCTCAACATTAGCACTCCAGTGACTGTTTCTACCTTGGCATCAAAGCCACCTACAACCACAGCCACCAGGGTCTCCCCCAACACCACCATTGTCAGCCTCAACACCTCCACCCTGGGGACAACCCTTTCTGTGCCTCCAGCCACCTCCCTGCTACCCAGCGTGGCACCATCTGGTCCACGTACCTCTCTCCCCACCACAGAAGCGGAGACGACAGAGAGGAATTTCAGTGCAACGGTGACAACACAAGAGACCTCTTCTGCTTCCCACAACGGTAAGCATCTCCTTCACCTCTTCTTCTCCAGGCCACCCTGCCTTCGGGTTTGTTTCTTTGCTCTTCTTCTGTTTTGCTGAACAAAAGGGAATGAGAAAACACTTAGGAGCAAATTCCATGGTGATACGAAAC